TATGATCTTAGTTCTCAGAAACCTCTCTTCGTTCGTCCGTCCGTCTGTCTTGCCCACAAATCTCCCTAAAGAGGAGACCCTTTTGGGCGCCTGGGTGGCTCAGTTGGTTAAGCGACTGCCTTCAGCTCAGGTCATGATTCTGGAGTCCCGGGATCGAGTCCCACATCGGGCTCCCTGCTCGGCGGGGGGTCTGCTTCTCCTTCTGACCCTCTTCCCTCTCGTGCTCTCTGTCTCTCATTCTCTCTCTCTCAAATAAATAAATAAAATCTTTAAAAAAAAAAAAAAAAGAGGAGACCCTTTTGCAGGAAATGCTTTTGCAAAAGCATCAGAGTAAAACAATAGCTCTGATGAGAATTCATTCTAATGCAATTGACAAGGAAATGTGGTTATTTTTGTGATAGATATTTTAAAGTAAAAACCAAAATTATGATTGGTAACATGATACCAGGACCTATAAAATTTTGGGGAATTTTATATACTTTTGGGAACACTCCTATTAATAACTTCCATATAAATAGTTCCTAAGAAAAGATTAGCATCACTTCCTACTTGACAATGCTTCCTGTGTAATTTAACATATGAAATGTCTGATTAGTTTAATATTTCTCTCTCACAAGGGGAAAAAACAAATCTTTTGAGCTGGGCCAGGAAAATCCCCAAGTTAGTTCAAGATCAATAAAGCTTCCTTTAGAATTTGATTTGGGGGAAGTTTGTCAAAAATATCAAAAGGTTTTAAAATACATGCTCATGTAGGATCACGGATCATTGTGAAACAACATTCAGTTATCCATTTAACCAAAATGACAATTTAAGCCTTCAAAGGCAAATAGAGAAATTGCACAGTTGTAAAAAAAAAAAAAACACCAAACCACTTAGCTCTTTTAATAGAGGAGACTCCGTTTTCTTAAGTAATCAAAGACCTGGTAAAGACTGCATGAAACATAGGAATTTATTTTGATAAAACACAGAATCTTTGTTTTTACTAGGTAGGTTACCTAAAAGGCAAAGAAAAGCTTTTCATGATCCCATCAAGAACAGACCAGTCGTCCAAGAAAACTTTATAGCAGATGAGAGAAAATTAAATTTCAGTTTTACATAAGTTCACTTTGATATATAGCTTATTTTTAAGCTAATTAAATAGAGCTCTTTTACAGATTAATTTTGGTAATAACTTCAGGAGGTAGAAAAAGATGTATTTAACATATATCCATAGACATATGTCACCATACAGACAGAGACCCCATAACTTAGCCCTCGATGAGTAATCTTGGGGAGACTGGGGGCTAGGCTTTGGACAAGGGAACTTCTAGAACAGTCTGTATCCCTCCCCAACCCCCAGATTTTTTCCTACAGTCCCTGTGGATACTGTTTTGGTTATCTCCTGGCGTGTTTACATTTCAAAGACATGATAAGATTTACAACTTTGGGTTTAGTTTTCCCCTAGGTTTGGGGGCAATTGCTATTGGAAATTTTCCTTTGTATTAGGGGTGGGAAGGCATGGGGCATCTCCCTTTCCTCTTCGACCACAACATCCTTCTCTTCATTCTGCTCGCTTGGCCAGCGAGCCACCTCTCAGCGCCCTAATCAGCCTTTGTCACAAGCTCCTGTGTCTTAATCCACAGCGTCTTGTGCCTTCCTTGCCTTGCAAAAAAAAAAAGGGTGCGCTAAGGTCCCCAGCTGACTTCTGCTGTCCCGTCTTGGCTGCCAGACTCAAAGCCAGCAAAGTAGTGGATACCTGCACACCCTTCTCTAACCTCAGCTCTTCCAACTTTCTAACTTGACTTTGAACCTTAGCTGGGCACCAGTGTCCAGCTGAACCGCCCACAGTAGAGACCAGTGCACTGTGACAATCATTCCCTTCATTTCTCTGGCGCAGTGCTGTGCACAGTTCCTTAAACAAGCTCAGTAAAGCAGCCGGGGTTTTGGGGACACCCCTAGACTCATGCAGAGGTCCACAAGCACCTAACATATGGGTCACCCCTCCCCACATAGAGGTCGCTGACCGACGTAGGATTTCCCGCACCGATGCCTCTCCGAAGGCCCATTTCTTCAGCCTCCTGGCTGGCCGGCCAACTTTTAGTTACCAGCCTCCTCCGGAGCCTCCCCGGGGCAATCTGAAACCAGCCCCAGAGGCAATGCGGAGGGAGAGGCTGGAGAAAAGGGCAGGCGGCTCCAGATTGTTGGCAGCAGGTTTAATAAGCAAGGGAACTTACTTACAAGGCTTGTCTTGGCCTGGCCATACCATGAGGTTTCCACACCCACCTGCCAGATCTCAAAAGTTTATACAGCGGCCTTAACTGTGTCCCTTACAAACTATCCAACTGGTCTCAACCCCACATCACCATCTCAAGGCCATGTCAGCGTCAAAGGCGGGGAAGCGGGGAAGGCAAGCAGAATGCACATCCCAAGGACAGGGGAGGGGGTGAGGAGCCTCCAGTTGCCCCGGTCCAGCTCATGGGTCAACCAGCGGTCGCATCCTCTCAATGACCTCCCCCACCACTGGCCTCTTCTTGGCCAAAGCTGGAGCACAAAGTCCCAGGCCTCTGAGCTGTTGAGGAACATGAGGAGTCATCTTATCCATTCCCCTGCCTCAGTCCCCTTTTCCAGAAAGGCTCAGGGTAGTCCAAGAACACAGGTTTTAGGGTCGGACAGATCTGATTTCACTTCACATACCTGTGTGTCCTGAGGCAAGTTCCCCCACCTCTCTGAGCCTGGGCTCCCCGTCAGAGCCAGGAGGATAATCTGGCTTCGTGAGGATTCAAGAAGACAAAGCTCTTGAGCTAACTCACCGTCTGGCACCTAGTGCCACAGGTTGAGCACAGTGGCCTTCCTGCGGGGGGCAGAAAACCTCGAGGTCAGACTTGGGGGGAAAGCAGCAGGAGTTCCGGCTTCAGGGCCGTGTGCCTTCCCTTCAGTTGGCTGTTCTCCAAGGTTCTCTGGGCCAGGTTCATCCTGGCCCTTGTCACGCACAGGCGGTCAGTGCCTGCTCTTTCAAATTCCTCAGAGGGGCGCTGATCCCTCGTTGCCAGAGGAGAAAGGAGGACCCCCGCCTCCTGAGGCTGGCCCAGTTTTGGGAAGCCTGCATCACAGAAAACCGCTCCCCCCCGGACTTCTTTACTCAGAAGAGGTGCCTTTTATGTAGTCAGAAGAAAGCAGTGAAGCTGTTTTCATCGGGGTTGGGAGGAAAGAAACAAAACTGCATTCAGAACTTAATAAACGCTTGCACTTTTAAATGCACTTAAATTCAGCCCACTGCCTGGATGCCGAAAGATTTTTAAGTTGGGTGTCTTGGCAAAGGACGCCTTTGAAGCCGACAGATCTATTGTTCCTCGTTGGTGGGGTCAGCGCACATCCAGGCTCAGGTTAAAATTTCCAGACAAGAAAGATAAAATGACAGCAGGAAGAAATCACTGTAATTTATAAGTTAGGACACCTATTCAATCAAAGGAACTCTTGACTCATGTCAGGGAATTTTGCAAGCCTCTTTGGCTTCAGGGTACGGGGAATGGGATGTTGCTGGCATGATTGTGCACCTACTCTGTGCCTAGGGCCACTAGGGGCTTCTACCTACCGTCACTAATCTTCTCCACAAGCCTGTGAGGTGGGGTTATCTCCCCATTTCGTAGATGAGGAGACTGAGGCTCAGGGATGCAGGGCCTCCTGACTGCACCCTGCCCCAGCGTGTGCCTTGGTCCGGTCCTCCCCTGTCCTGTGGTCCAGGTTTAAGGCAGTGGTAGGGAATTTTGGAGGAAGGGGAGCCCAAAGAGATGCCTAAATCTGTCATGGGCTCCGCTCCCAGCGTCTAAAGTATACCAGGGCGTGGGGTGCTTGAGGAAGAGAGGAGCGACCTTTGGCATGCTGAGGGCGGGACCAAGACCTTGGCCCTGCAGGCACCTCCAGCTCTGGCCTTGGCCCAGACCTCTTTCCCCCCCACCACCTTGCTGGCTATTCTGAAACCAGATTTGGCAGAGAAGCCTCATTGGGAGGGGAGACCGTTCCAGAATGGACCTTGAAGCCAGCTCAGAGCCCCACTCTACTTCTATCCAAGCCTTTCAGCATTGCTAGGAAGGGCGTGCAGGGACCACACTGTCCCCATCCCCACCCTCCCCAGGGTAAGTGGGAGCATCAGCATCTGAGGGTGCATGGGCCGGGGGCAGAAGCTGGTGCTTTGCTCCTTACAACAGCCCAGGCCCGTGAATACTCTCATTCCCATTTTACCCCTGGGAAAACCAAGGCTCAGAGAGGTGACATGACTTGCTTAAGGTCACCCTTCTGGTAAGTGGCATAGCTGGAATTCAAACTTATGTCTAGCAGCAGGTCATATGCTCTTTCCACAACTGTGCTTAACAGGAATGTCAGGGGACTCGGTGTAATCCTGGGTCTGCCTTTGCCTCTCGGTGTGGCCTTAGGTGAGCCATTTAATGCTGCTAAGCCTCAGTGTATACATCTGTAAAATGGACATTATATTTTATGAATTTATACTTCTGTTATATTTAATGAATCATGTGGTTATCCATTTAGCATCTGTCTTCCTTGCTAGACTGTAATCTCTCTGGGAGCCTGGACCGTGTCCACCACTGTGTTCTTAGCAATTGGCCCGGCACGAAGCATTTGCTTCTCAATAACCCTATGAGATAGGTATGTCCCATTGAGCCCATTTTACAGATGAGAAAACTGATTCAGAGAGGTGAAGCGTTTGCCCAAGTTAGATGTTAGTAAGAAGGCCAGTAAATGGCAGAGCTGAGACTCATCCCTGTCCTCCCAAGCAGGTATGATTTTGGGCATCCCTACTTCAAGGCAGGTTTTGGGGGAGGGGGCCCTTTGTCTTGTGTCTCCGGCCTTCAGTGTAGGTTGGACTGGGAGTAAATTGAGCTCTGAGAAGGGCAAAGGTGTTCCTTTTGTTTCTGAAGCTCCCTAGCCTTATGGCCACGCCCCACTTGTCCCTGCCCCCCAATGCCGCTCCTAAACCTGTCCTTCCCTTTGTCCTCTGCTGCGCCCAGGACTGGACCCGGGCCACATCCGAGGCTCAGTCAACATGCCGTTCATGGACTTCTTGACCGCGGACGGCTTCGAGAAGAGCCCAGAGGAGCTGCGTGCTATGTTCGAGGCCAAGAAGGTGAACCTAGCGCAGCCCCTCATTGCCACGTGCCGGAAGGGAGTCACCGCCTGCCACATCGCCCTGGCCGCCTACGTCTGCGGCAAGCCGGATGTGGCCGTCTATGATGGCTCCTGGTCTGAGTGGTTCCGCCGGGCACCCCCGGAGACCCGTGTGTCCCAGTGGAGGCGCGAGAAGGCCTGAGTGGCGGGCCTCCTCACTGGCTGGCAGCTCCCATCTGTTTAGCGACCGCAGCCTGACATGCAGCGTGTACCTCTTCAGCAAAGGAGACTGACCAGGTTTTAGAATTCCTACGCAGAGCTCTCCTTTCCCTCGAAACACTGGAATAAATTGCCTTTTCTGAGTAGCTGTGTTTGCCTGCCTCTCCCTGGGTGTCACCCTCGCCCCATGTGCCCAGCTCCTTCATGTTCCTTAGAACCCACCGAGGCCAGAAACCTCCAGAGCAGCCCCTAGCTGGGGAGGCCATGCAGAGGGTGCCATTCTATTATTTCATTTTGGCAAAGGAAGCCACCTGTTGTCCCATGTCAGGTACAGCATACTGGGACCTACCTGGAAGTGGGACGGGAAGCTGGGGAGAAGCAAAACCGAGGCTAGCTGGGCACCAACTGCTCCTGCTGTGGGCCCAGCGCTCTGGGTGCGGGGAATAGGGTGGGGGCATTGGGCCTTCCAAAGCCTTGTCACCCAACATGGGCCCTGGGGCCCCTCAGAACAGGCGATGCTCAGAAGCGGGACCGAGGAAGGTGGCCTCCAGCTGGGGTGTCCTTCTTGGCTCAGAATACGACCCTCTGGGGAGCACATGGAGAGGGGCTGGAGAAGCAGCCTCAGCCCCGGGAAAAAGTTCCAGAGCCCTGGCAGTGTGAAGCTACCGAAGAGGACTGGACCCTCGTGGCTGCGTTTTGAGTTTCCTAGAAACATGCTTTCTAAGCCCTCCTTTGGGGCCATGTGTTGGAGGACCTATAGGTGGTGTACTGAATTCAGAATCATCAGTTTACAACTTGCTGAATGAGGGGGCAAACTGCCCCCCCCCAAGGTTGGCAGGTAGCCCCCTCAACATCCGAGCTCCCACCTGGGAAATTGAAAACCCCGGGTTTATTTTGACGGGAGATGCAGTTTCAATACACCCACACAAAGGAAGTTAAGTCATAAGATTTATTACTTACAGATCCCAGACATGGGTGGGGAGTGATGAGCCAGGGGAGGGCAGTCCTCTCCCCCAGGTTGCCCGTGAGCTGGAAAGACAGAACAGAGAGCCTATTACTCATAAGGCAGTTAGGGCCGGGGGTACTAACTTTCCATGGCCTCAGGTCAAGGTGGTTATTTTCCTAGGTGCCCTGGGAAAGACAAAGCTGGAATTTGAGACGGGAATCCTAAGGTCAGGTCCTTGTCTATGTCCAGACTCAGGGTGCAAGGAGGGTTGTCCTATTGTCAAATGTCTGGGCAGCGCCTCAGGAAGGCTGTTTTCCCCTCACAGGCTGCACGCTGAGCCCTGGCCTCACCTAATGGGGGTTCCCTGCTTCCACTGCGCAGCCTTCCTGGGCAAAGACAGGGCCACCTTGGGCCAGGGACCAAGTCTGTCAATGACGGGCCCCAGCCCCTAGGCCAGCGTAGAGGCGGGCAGGTGCTCAGTAAATGCTGAGGAGCCTGGGTGTCGGGCTGGATCAGGCTGAAGGCCTGAGGGGTCTGCGTGGAAGAGGGCTAGGGCTGACCCTTCCTGCCTCCATGCTGTCCTTGTCATGCCAGCTTTAGGTCCTTTATTGGAGCCTTGAGTGGCCAGAGAATCCAGCGAAGCCATGCCCAGACCCCTGACCCACAGCAACTGCCGTAGGGAATGTGTGAAGCTGCTAAGTTTGCGGTCATACTGTCCCTCAGCAATAGATAACAGGGGGGTGAGAGCAATCCCAGGAGACCAGTGAGGAGGCAAGAGGTCTGGACTGGGGGCCGGGGCAGGGAGCGGGGGGTGGAAGTGGCTGAAGGGGTGCGAGTCTGGTGTACTTTGAAGGCCTTGCTGATGAGTCGCTTACGGGGTTAGCTGTGAGTTACAGGCGACATCTCTCTGTGGCAAGTGATGCGCTAGGCGCTTCTCGAAAGTGACTTCGCTCCATTCTCATTCTTACCCTTGGCGGTGAGCTGTGTCTGTTTCACATACGAGGAAAGCTCAGCCAAAGAACTCGGCCAAAGTCACTCTTTTCTTAAGTGGCAGACCCAGACTCAGGGGTCCCGAGCGTCACCAAGCTCTCCGCCTCCTGGGGAGCCCCTGGAAGGCTGGCATGAGGAGGCAGCCCTTGGACCCTTACCCCTGCTGAGCAACAACCAGACAAGACTGAGTCTGCTGGCACCAGCTGCAGAAGCCATTGAACTATTCATCTTTGGTAGCCCTCGTGGTTTGAGCGGGGGAGAGCTGACTCTCATTGTCTCATCCTGCTCTCATTTTACTACTTGCTCCCTGATCCCTTCATGTCCAGCTCAGAGAGCTCCAGGTGCACCTTTCCCTCCCCTCCCCACTCCTCTTGGCCTATATTTATGCTCATAAACACATCCAGGCCTTTAATAGTCAAGTCCCTTCTAAGCTGTTAAACTCATATGCATCCTTCAAAGCCCAGCTCAAATGACTCCTCTCCCCAGACAAAACTCATCATTCTCTCTACTTAATCCTTTGTCAGCCCAAGAACTTCCTTTCCACCTGATGGCATCTGAACCCTCTGTGCCTGATAGACAACCTGACACATGTGGGGGGCTCTGGAAACATTTTGAGGGGATGAGAGAGTGAACGATGCCTGAAGGCTCCTCCCCCTCCCCCCCAGTACTGGCTTTCCCTGGCCTCAGTTCCCTAGGGTGAGCCTACAAGCCCTCTGAGGTAATAGAGCCCTATGGATAGTGCTCACCACGGTGACTCCAATGAACAGTGGAGGAGGGCTGCTCCCTAGCAACCACCCAGTGGTCTTCACCAGTAGTTTTTGCAGTGTGGATCCGCACTCCTGGGCTTCAGCACACACCAGAGTGGTTCACGTGTTTTCTGATGTTATGAGAGAGAGTGGAGAGGTGAGGCAGAGACCTGTGAGGTGGGCGGGGGTCTCCCGAGGCCTGGGATTTCATCTTCCCTCTCTCCATTCAGGGCTGCTTGTGAGGGAAGAGTACCCAGAAGCAACTAGACCTCTGCCCCATCCTCCTTGACTGACGTTTCTTGGGACCTTTCTTTCCAGATCAGAAACTGGCAGTGAGTCCACACTTCTGTTCAAGGCAGTCCAGGCTGCTCTGGACTGGGGGTGCCATTAGGCAGATGGGACACAGCCGTGGGCACAGCGGGTGGGTAACGGGATGGGGCAGCTCGCTTGAAGGACACAGAAGATGTCAGGCTTGGTTTCAGTGCCACCTGGCTGAGGTCCTATTTCTTTTCTGAGCCTCAGTTTCTCCACCTGTGAAAGAGAGAGAGTTAATACTTTCTCTGAACACGTGAGTCCTTATGAAGACAGACTAATCTAGATGTGAGAATACATATGAACTGCATTAGGTATCTCTTGCCATGTAACAAATCATCCCAAAATTTAGTGGCTTTAAGAACATTTTATAAAATTAACTAATTTATTTTTGAGAGAGAAGGGCAGAGTGAGAGAGAGGATCCCAAGCATGCTCCACTCAGTGTGAAGCCTGATGTGGGTCTCAATCTCACAACCCTGAGATCATGACCTGAGCCAAAAATCAAGAATTGGATGCTTAACCGACTGAGCCACCCAGGTGCCCCTAAGAAGATTTTTTATCTCACAGTTTCTTTGGGTCAGAAATACAGATAGCTCCAATGGATCCCAAGTCTCAGGGTCTTCCACAGACTATAATCAAAGTTCAACTAGAGAAGGACCCCTTTCCAGGGCCACCCATATGGTACGACTCAATTCCTCGTGGATTGTTGAACTGAGAGTCTCAGTTACTCATGAGCTGTTGGCCAGGAGCCTCCCTCAGATCCTTGAGGCAGGCTTCTCCAGAGGGCAGCTCATGACATGGACCCTTCTTCTATCAGAGTGAGTGAGCCAAGGAGAGCCTGAGAGAGCATAAACAAGACAGAGTCACAATCTTCTATATTCAATCTTCAATAACCCTGGAAGTAGCATCCCATCACATATTCTATTGATTAGAAGCAAGTCAACAGGTCCAGCCCAGAGTCAAGGGGAGGGATTATACAAAGGTGTGAATAGCAAGGAACAGGATCATTGTGAGCCATATCAACTGCCCACCTCACTTCCCCCTCTAGGCCCTGATAATATACATCCCTTCCATATGCAAAATGCATTCATTTCTGCCTAAGATCTCCAAAGGGTTCATTCCTTTACAGCATCAGCTCTAAATCTAGAACCTGGTTCTATGAATCAGGCCCAGGTGTGGATGAGACTCCTTGGGTGTGGTTTCTTGAGCTCAGTCACTCCCCAACAGTAGGTCTTATGAAACTAAACTACCTGTTCTGAAACTAAGCTACTTGTTCTGAATACACCCATCACGAAATGGTGTGGCAGCCCCAGGAAAAGAATGATAGACATCTCTATTAAAAAATGAGGACACTGGAGATACAAAGGAGTCACTGGCCCATAGCAGTTCTGAAATCCAGCCAAGGAAATGTTGAACTTTTCCTGATTGGGTTCAAGGCCTGGAAGTAATTCTCCATGGTTCTCAGCTCTGCCCAACAGGTACTCTCTTCCACTCTCTATCCTTTTTAAAAAATAAATAAATAAAAGAGAGCATGTGTGTATGCTGAACAGTTTTGTCAGACTGTTCTACCAGTAGAATTTGAGAGTCCACTAATGTCTCCCTTTTTTTTTTTTTTTTTTGGTCCCATTTTGTACTGTCTCTGCCCCCTTTATTGCAAGCTGGTAGTGCTTTTGCTGATATGGTTTTCTCAATAACTGAAGCCTACAGGGGCTCGGACTGCTAGACAATAGCTACGCTCCTCCCTCCTGAGGTTCCTGCAGAGAGACAGCACCCGTAAGCTTCCTAGAGGCCCTATTACCCCACTGGGGGTCTGTGAGATGCATCCTTATCTCTTTAAAGGGTCATTTGTGTGACGGAATAATATGCTCTGAGCTTTTCATCTTTATAAGCTTTTAACAAAATGTGGTATAGTTGCACCCTTGGTTACCTTTTCCTGACAGTGCTCTGAAGCCATTTCTTAATTTTAGCATTTTTTGACACTTGGAGAAGATGAGAATTTCCAAAACTATTAAGTCCTGCCTCTTTTATGTTTAATGGTCCTTCCTTCAATGCTTCTTTCTTCTCTCACAGTTCACTACAAGCAGCAGGAAGAAAGCAGGAAGCACCTTCCGCGCTTTGCTTGAGAATCTCCTTTGCTAGATCCCCTGGCTCATTAGTCACATGTTTCTTTCCACATAATTGTCAATGACAGTGTCACCAAGTTTCTGTCACTACATAACAAGGACACATCTTCTTCCAGGTGCTAAAAACATGTTCCTCACGTCCTTGTGCTTGCAGTGACAGCATCCTCCAAGTCCACATTTCTACTCATTATCTGTTTAAGGCAATTTAAGCCTTTTCTATCATGTTCTTCAAAACCCATGCACGCTCCAACCACTGCTCAGTTCCAAAGCCACTCCCACATTTTTAGGTATTTGTTACAGCAGCAGCCCATTCTTGGTACCAAACTATATGTTAGTGAGCTTCTGCTGCATGACAAATGACCACAAAGCTTAGCAACTTAAAACTATGTGCTTAAAAAAAGTACAAATTTATTATCTCCCAGTTTCTTTGGGTCAGGATCCTCGGTGTAGCCCAGCTGGGTCCTCTGCCTGAGGGTTCCCCACAAGCTGTAATTAATGTGTCAGCTGGGCTATGTTCTCATATGAAGGCTCAACTGGAGAAGGATCCACTCCCATGGTCATTTGGGTGGCAGGATTCATGCAGTTCCTCGAGGACTATTGGACCAAGGGTCTCCCTTCCTCATGAGCTGTTGGCTTCTCCATGGGGCAGCTCAAAACATGGCAGTTGCTTCCACCAGAGCAAACAAGCCAAGAAGAGCCAGAGAAAGAGTGTGAATAAGACAGAAGTCATTAATCTAATCTCACAATGACATCCTCCCATTTTCATCATATTCTTTTGATCAAAAGCAAGCTGCTCAGTCCAGCCCACAGTCAGGGGGTTGGGGTGGGGGGCTAATGCTGTGTATGGATACCGGGGCGGGTATTCTGTTGAGCTCAGTCCCTCCCCAGCAGTAGGTCTTATGAAATTAGGGATCATGGGGAGTCAGTCCATCAGAAGCTGCACGATCACAGTTATCACCACACGATTATTAAGTGTCAACATTAATAGGGTGTTTTGCTTTGTGATTTCTTCAAAAGAAAATTGATCTTTTTTTAAGATTTTATTTATTTGAGAGAGAGCACGAGTGGGAGGAGAATCAGAGGGAGAGGAAGAAGCAGACTCCCCGCTGAGCAGGGAGCCCGAACCAGGCCTCCATCCCAGGACCCTGAAATCACGACTTGAGCCGAAGTCAGAGGTTTTACCAACTGAGATACCCAGGCGGCCCTAAAATTAATCTGGTTCTTAATCTGCTCTGAGCTTACCAGTAGACCAGCTTGCTGGGTGACCTAGCACAAATCACTCCCCCTCTCTGGGCCTCAGTTTCTTTATCTATAAAATGAAGAGATTGGATTAGTTGATCCCAAAGATCCCTTCCAGCTCTAACCTGCTACTTTTTTGCTTTCCTTATTACAAAGCTACTTCCTGCTTAGGCCTAGGTACTAAACATTCACTGTATACAAGAAATTGTTTTACTTTTTCATATTACAAGATTCACAAAAATCTTAAAGACACTGCAATAAAATCAGGTATTAGGAATAAGAAGAAGATCACTAGGAAAAGGAACACAAACCCGAAAGCCACAGGGGCTATTGTAGACACCAGGGCTGCTCTAAATTGGCCCGAAGGCCTGTTCTCTGGAGCAGAGACTGAGGTCACAGCCGCGAGGCTCCTGCTCTCAGCTCTCCTATGATGGCCAAGCCGGTTCCTTTGCCTTGAGCTTGAAAGGCCAGCTATTAAAAGGGACACAGTCCTACTTGCAGGGAGGCAAAGAGTCACCAGGATAGGGGGCTTGGGGCAAGGCCTCCCACAGCCAGGGCCCTGCTGGGGAATCCCAGGGGAGCATTGAGCGCTGCAGATAGGGGAGAAGGTGGAAGGAAGAGGGTGCAAAGGGCAAGAGGAGCTCAGGGCCCCCAGGCTGTTTGAGAAAGTTCTTTGAGGCACTGGCATTGGAAGTGACCTGGGCTTTCCAGAGAGGGCAGAGTCTGCAGGGGTCCAGGAGGCAGGCCAGGGGGGGATAGGTGATGGCGGCAGCATGGGGGAAGGGGCTTGCTGAGTACCAGAGAGGACTGGAAACAGCATGGAGGGACCTCTGGTCAGGGGCTGGGCAGATGGCTGCAAGCCTCCCTGTTTAGCTCTCTGCTCATCCTTTTCTGCAGAGACTGTGTCATCTGGGATGACCAAATGTGTTTCTTTGTCTACAGGACTAAGATTGGAATTATCTATCCCAGAGCAAGAGTCGATGGAGCTGGGCCACCGAGCAGGTAGGACAGGCTGACCAGGGACATGCTGAGCCCATTCAGGGCTTCTGGACGGGTGCCCTGCGGGCAGCAGGGAACAGCCCCTTCTCCTCCTCCCTCGGTCTCACCTGGGCCTCCAGACCCACTGTAGGGCCCTGACTTCCTCCGCATTCTATTTGAAGATAGAAATCAAAGGGAGGGGAATATTGCTGGGCCCCTCCCCTCTGTCCAACCAGGGACTGCAGCCCCACTGCAGTTCCCCTCTGCGGGGATCAGTGGGGAAGTGTGCACCCAGAGGGCAGGGCTGAGGGAGACCCCAGCGGGGGCCAGGGCTGGTCAAGGGGGTGGAAGGTACATGTAGGTCCTGAGTAAGCCCAGCCCAGGGAGTGGTGTGGCCCAAGGAGGGGTGAAGGGAGTGTTCCAGGAACAGGGAACAGTATGGGCAAAAGTCTGGAAGTGAGAGGCCTGGTGCTTTGGTGGAGCCCAGGGAAGTCAATATGGCTGGAAGGCTGGAGAGGCAGGTGGGGGAGAAGCCCAGGCTGGGTCCTGGGCCTGATCCCCGACGTGGGGGCTCTGCTTTCAATGCAGGGGTGACGGGGTCAGGTCAGCTCTGACAGGGGCCCCACGGTGAGTGGCCATCCAGTGAGACTCGGCTGCTGGAAGCTTTCTCCAACAACCTAAGCACCCAGGCCTTGTTAAACACTCGGATTCCAGCCTCTTCCAGGGAGATTCTGATGCAGGCCCAATGCAGGGAGGGGCCCAAGAATCTGCAAATGTCATGAGTGGGGAAGTGGGGGGGGGGGGAATTCTGATAAAGGGCCAAGCCGGGAAAACTGACCACGGACCATTTGTCTCATGACACTAGCAAGCGAAGCTGGATTCACTCTGCCCTTTTTACGGCAGAAGGGATGGGGCAGAGTTGCAGTGAGGCTCCTCGGCTGCCAACAATCACTCATTCATTCAACAAACAGCTCCAAGAGGACAGGCGTTGGCCTTTTAGTTCCCTGTTGTGTCCCCAGTGCCTGGGCCTGACACAGGGCTCCCTCAGCGCGTGAATTGGGTCAATATCGGCTCTCTGAGCCAGGGCCCGGCCAGTGAAGCGCTCATCACCCCAGAGGGTGGGCAGGGGGCTCAGGCAATTCTGCTATAACATGCTCGTAGATGAGGCAGGCGGGCGCGCGGCCTGGGGGAAACGGGGAGCTCTGCTCCTAGAGTCCTGAGCCCTGCATCCTGTGGGACTCCAGGCGGAGCCCCTCGCTGTGCCGGGAGCAGGAGGAGGGGCCCCGGCTGAGCAGGGGGATGCTGAGTGTACTGCTTTCACTCTGTTGAGCAGGGCGCCCTCCCTACCTTGGAAACCTCAGTTGTCCCCAGAGGCGTCCCTTGACTTGGCTGCCTGCTTGCTGGGGCAGAACCAGGACTGGAGGGAGGGGAGGCCTTCTGGTCTCGGGGAGGGCGGGGGAACAGGTTTTCCCTCTGCCTTTTGTGTAGATGACAAAGGAGCAAGAATGAAAGAGTATCTGATTTCACTGGTGGCAGGGAGGGCGGAGGGAAGGAAAGGAGGAGGCAGGCGGGCTTGGGCATCAGCTTTCTCTGTCTCCACTGCCCAGGGGAAGGGTCTGCCGTTCTTCGTGGGTGGGCAAGAGGGGTTTTTCACAGAGCACCACCACCCCTTGGTGACAGCACAGCAGGGTCCGGTGAGAGCGAAATAAAACCCCCAATGGCCTCCCAAACCCGCTGCTTTCTAGCAGCCTTCTCGGAAAAGCAAGGCTAGAACAATCCGAATGACCGCAAGTGGGGCCGCTACTAAATCCTGCCGGGTTTGAAAGGGAAGTGGGGTCTGTGTCTGCTGCCATAACTCAATCCTCAAGGCCCAGTGGTACTTTTTTTTTAACAGCAAGTTACAAAGCAATACATATAATCCAATCTCATTTAGAAACAAAAGCAAAGCACTACTATGAATCCTTCAAGAGGGCTGGAGGAGCCATCTAGAATATTTTGGAGGGCAGCTCACCAGATGTGTTTACAGCTGTCGCCTGGGATTGAAGATTGGGGGGCAGGGGGCGAGGTCAAGGCTGTGTGTGTGTGGTGGTGGGGGGATGGGGGTGGGCAAACGGCTCCTCTTCTGTATTTTGCACAGAAAATACAAGAAAGAATAAGGTAAGGAAGAATTTATACACCACCTGGGTGTTATCATGTGTAACATGTTATATAAATTGTGTTAGGTCACGATCAGGTTGGTTGTCAGATACACTGTTATTTATGTGACTTACCCGCCACTTCTTAAAGAAAGAGAAAACCCTGCTGGTTAGATCAAGGGTCACCAACTGCCAGATGCAGCCTGATGTCAGCGGTATGACCATGAAAAGAAATGATGTGTTACACGGACGATGCACAGGGTTCCTCTGGGTCTGCTGGCCCCGCCGCCCCCTACTCCCCGGGCTGGCTGACGGCCTCCACCCACAGCTCCGATGCACCGGGCTTGTCTGGTGGGCACTGAGGGAGGTCCAGGATCAACTCACCCGTGGACCCGCCTCAGCGAGACTGCCACCTCCCATCTTGGAGGGAAAATGAGAAGGTTGGTAGCCATAGTGACAGAGAAAGGGAAAACCCAGGGTCGTGAGAGAGGTGTGGAGCCTGCGGCCAGGCCAGCGTGGGGTGGGTGTCAGGGAGGACTTCCTGGTAAGATGACATTTGAAGGAGCTGAAGGTAGGATTTTCTCAGGAAGAAGGAGGCGCAGGCCCTCAGGTAGCAGAACCAGCCTGGGCAGACACTGGGAGGTGGGACGGCACAGGGCATGGCTGGGAGAGAAGGACTAGCTGGTTTGGTGGGAGCCAGGGTTGGGTGAAGAGAGGGAGGAGGCTTGCAGGCTGGGAGCAGGGGCCCCCTGGGACTGGGAGTCAGGGCCAGAAGGGGAAGGGACCTGTGGGGGTGTGAGAAGTGGCTGGGGTGACAGCACCTGAATAGTGACAATAGCCGAGGGAAGTGGGGGTTGGGCAGCAGCTCTGAATGGGGAGCAAAGGCCTGGCCATCCAGCTCTGTGACTTGGCCAAGCCAACGATGCCCTCTGGCAGGTCCCACGGCTGCTGGTTTTCTTCACTGGTTCGCTGGAGGGTTCAAAGAGGGGAAGGGAACTAATCAAATGGAGCTAGGTTCACTAAAGCACAGAGACATTAAGGTCCCACAGCTAGACCTCAAGGCTGGAGAGTCTGGGGCTGCCACTCCTATTGTCAAAAACAATGTGGGGTGATCCCATCTGGTGGGAGGCTTGGCAGACTGAACCACCTGCTTCCTCTGTCTCTCCTGATTTCTCCCCTGTGCTTCTGGCTCCTGTGACTTCTCTCTGTCCCCATCCCTTTGATGCAGGCTGGCTGGATCTGAGGATCCAGAGAGGGGTCCCGCAGCACCAGCCAAGACGGTCTTTGGCTTCACACAGGATAGAAATCAAATGCATGCTGAGAGGAAGTGAGAGCAGTTTACTGAAGACAGAGAGAGAGTGCAGATACAGAGTGTCTGGGAGCCTCAGAAGGGAAAGGACAGTGAGTCTCGTCTTTGCACGGGACCGGGTTTGTATTGAGGACGGTGGTGGTCCAGTGCCCTGTCTTCTCAGGCATCCAGGAACAAAGATGCGTGTTTAGGTGTCCCCATAAGTCACTTACGCCCTGGAGCCAGGGGTCTTGGTGAGTCGGCGGTCTTGGAAAATGTTCATGTCACTCCTTAGGTACTGTCTATTGTTCCAGAAGACTCCAGAAAAATCATTAAATCCTTGACCTTTATGAGGACTGTCTGTTCTGTAAGGCGTGTGTGAGGCAGGGGTGCAAGTCCCAACAAAAGTAGAGGCAGCAAAAGGAGCAGAGAAAGCAGTTTCTCGTGGGGTCCCTTCAGTTTCCCTTACCTTCTTTTGCTGCTCTGAGGCTCTGGGGCTCTGTGTCTTTCCTTTCCCCCCTCCCCACTCCCATCGCTGTCTCCCTTCCCACCCCCCACTCTGCACTCATCTATTTCCCTCCCTCCTTCCCTCCCTCCCTGCCTCTCTCCCTGCTTAGGCACAACGACTTTGCCCAGGGCCCATCTGAACAGCAAGGAAGACCAGCAGGACACGAACCCCTGGAGAACTGCCCCCAGCCCTTTGGACACCTCCAAGTTCAAGTACGAGGCCCCAGTCTCCCCACAGCAGACTCTGTACCGGGGAGGCCGCCGCCTAAGGCAGGTCCACCTGGAGGAGGTCAGGACTCCACCCCCATCGGTCATCAGCAGCGACCGTCTGTGCCCGGGGATGGACCCCCAGCGTGGGTCCCCGAGGAAGGGAGGCTACAGACCCTCCTCGAGGGAGAGCAGGGCTTCTTTCCGAGAGGGGGCTCAGCTGAACCAGGGGCTGAAGGAAGGCCCCAACACAGGAGCCCAGGGCCAGAGGAGCAGCATCATTCCTGACAACATTCGTCACAAGTTTGGGAGCAACGTGGTGGACGAGCTGGTCTCTGAGGAGCAGGTATCCGAGTGGGCACAGGAGGCCAAGGGTGGCGGAAGCGTTATGCATGGAGACTTACGAGGACCCCCAAGGAGCCTGCTCTTGAGCACAGAGTCCCTACAGTAATATCATTCAAGAGGAATGTTGACTATGCCAGGCAGAGCCCAATTTAAAGTCTTCACATAAAACAATTCATTTGATCTTCCCAGTGAGGAAGGTACTATATCCTATGGATAAGGAGCCCAAGGCTTAGAGGGGTTCAGTAAACTAACCAAACTCACCCAGGTCTATGGGATAAGGATCCAAGCTGGGCCAACATATTCTGGGGGCCTGGCCCTTACTGACTTTTCAGTTATAAGGCTGGTGTTGGATTAGATGCTTTTAACTTGAACAAGTCTCCTAAAGGAGACAGCATTGACTGGGAATCAGAAGACTTGGGTTTGACCGGGTGAGTCTTGCCCTGAGGCCCAGCTTCCTCATTTATAAAATGGCAAGAGTAATGTTAGCTTATGAAGATCTCTTCTGATGATAAACAGTAGGTGCTCAAAGCAGGGAGGAGGTTCTATAGTCATTACCATCACTTGTGCCCGTCTGGGAGGTGGGATGGTGTGAGGAATGGAGGGCCTTCAGCTCTCCCGGCTCCCAGCCCTGGGCCTGGTTGAGGCTGCAGGGTAGGGGTGGGGTAGGGGGTGGCAAGGTCAGGCTAGAGGGAGGAGGGATTGGAGGGGAGATAGAGGACTGACCCTGCTTCTCTATCCTTTGTCTCTTCTCCCTTGCTTACTGCCCAGGCTCGAAGGGCCATCGGTGAGGTCTCTGAGGGCCAGAAGAGGGCAAACTCATGGCCCAGCAGGACCCAGAGTCCCATGAAAATCACCTCCATCTTCTCAGACTACTATGATTTGGGCTACAACATGCGATCAAATTTGTTTCAAGGTCAGGCCAAAGGGCAAGGGTGAGGGCTGTCAGGACCTGTAGATCCCAAGCCACCCCTTCCTGTACCCCTAGGGGGTCTGAGACCCAGGACACATTCCTGGGGGCACGGGACACTCATTACGTGGCCACCAAGGGCCCTCTCTGGGCCAGGCTCTGTGCCTTGCGCTGGGAATATCCAGGCCCCAGGCAAATGTGTTCTCACCGTGCAGATGATCCATCCTAGTTGGCAAATAGCTCCTCACTCCCTCGGGGACCTCTGGTGTCCTAGTCTGCCAGAGGGAGGCCTGGGCACCCCTGGCTGGCCTGGGCACCTCTGGTCACAGCGACAATGTCAGGCTTCCTAGGTTCAAAGCTCAGCTCTGCCACTTCCTGGGTGTGGCCTCAGGCGGGATCCTTCACCTCTCTGGGCCTCGGTCACCTTCTTGGCACCATGGGGATAATAATGATGACGTGGCCCTCACTGGGTCATTGACAGGGCTCTGAAATGCCACTTGAAGGTGCTTGGCCTGGGGCTGGAAACGAGAAGCTGGCAAGCCATTGTTTTTCCTTCCCAGAGCTGTGGTGGCACCATCTGGGGAGAAGGGTGGGTTGGAGGTTCGGACAGCAGTGTGCAGTGTTTCCTGAGGACCAGCCGTAGTCCTGTTTGTTTGGGGTGAGAGCTATTAGCTCCATTTCAGGGACTCACTGGAAACAGTTTGCCTAAGATCTCTCAATAGCAGGAGGTGGATCAGAGCTCAAATCCACGTTTTTCTCCTGCCTCCAAAGCCCCAGAGTCTTTCCTCGGCTTTGGGTCACCTCCCTACCTATGACCCCGTTCCCAAAGTGGTTTAATGGCCTGCTCAGCTGGGGGTCCACAGCCTGCCCGCAGGGGCCTCTCTCGGCTCCCGCGTTCGAGTTTTGCCTCATTGCCAAACATGACATCCTTCTGGTCCTCTTCTTTCTTCCCTCCGTCCTGCCAGGCCCTCTCCCGTGCCCCCAGGGCCTGGCGGACCTCCTCACCGGGCTCAGATCCCCGTCACCCAAGGAACCAGACAGCCACGGGAAGCCTTTCTGGCTCTTTCTTTGAGCCTGGAGAAGCGGTGGTGCTGGAGGAGGGAGAGAGAAGACAGCTCAGATTGTCTTCTGTTCTGGGCCTCAGAGTTCCTGCCTTTCATTTGTCCCCGTAATAATTATCACCCGAGGGTGCGGACAACCTTATATGGTAACGTCTACCCAGACATAAAACAATTGTCTAAAAGACATCTGTGCATGTTTCGCCAGCCTGAGAAACAACCTTGGCAGCTGTGCGAGGGGTGGTGCTGGAACCAGCGCGAACCAGCTTGTACCTACCCGCTCAACAAGAGTCAGTTGTTCTATTTTCCCTAACTGGCATCGCATTGCTATCTTACGGTGAGCCGCGGTAGTATTTATACTCCAGACATTGGCAAGCACCGTAAATTCGGGCTTCATTCAGCCTTGGCACCAGTGGGCTTCACCTCTTCTTCACTCTTGTTTCTACCCACTGCGTCAGCCTTGCCCTTGCTGATCCAGGTTGTGGCTGAACCAGAGCAAGGGAGAGGAACTCAGACAGGAGATGGGCTCGGTGGGGAAGGCCGCCAGAAAATCTTTTCCCTTGGCGGGGTCGGGAAGCCAGGGGAGGGTCTCAAGCAGGAGAATGGTAGTGTTGGTTAAAAGACCATTCTCGTTGTCGTTGAGAATAGTTGCAGGGGAACTGGGGCGGAAACGGGGAGACCAGTGAGGAGTCGACTGCAAAATATCTCCCAGGTAGGAGAGATGATGGTGGCTTGTCTAGGGAGCAGGGCTGGGGCCCTGCACAACTCTGGAGGTACCATTGTACAGTATGGTAGGATTCTGGGTATTTGTGTAAGCTGGAGCCACAGAATATGCTAATAAATGGATCTGGGGTGTATGAGAGAGGAATTAAGATTGATTTCAAGGCTTCTGACCTGAAAGCCTGGGAGGACAGAGTTCCTATTTCCTCAGAGAGAAGGTTCCAGGAAGAGTGGGTTGAAGAAATCCTATCCCATGCTGAGTCATAAAGAAAATCTTTTATAGAGTCTTCTAAAATATTTAGTTTTGCTTTTCACAGTTAAGCCTTTAATCCACCCGGAGTTGATTTCTGTTGTCAGTGAGAAGCAGGGATTCCTGTTTAATTCCTCCTTTACGTGGATTACCAGTTGTCTCAGAACCCTTTACTGGGTAGTTTCACCCCTGCCCCCAGGGACCCGCAGTGGTACCACTGGTGTCCACCAAGCTTCCACGTGCGCAGGGGTCAGTTTCCAGGCTCTCCATTCTGCCCATTGGTTGACTATTATGCTTTTAATGACCAAGTATGAGAGGTAGTCTGGTATCTGGTTGGGCACATATCAGCCTGCTTCTCCACAACCACCACCAGCTAAGGTTTGGCTATTTGAGGTCCCTGCCTCTTCCATAGAGATTTCAGACCCACCTTGTCAATTTCTACAACAAAACAAAAACCCTGTTGAGATTTTAATTGGAAATATGTTGAATCTACAGCTCAAATTAGGGGCAACGGTCAGCTTTATGATAAGGAATTTTCCAATCCATGAATATGATAGGCAGGTCCATTAATTTAAATCTTCTTTCAGTATCTGTAAATTACATTTTATAATTTTTTCTATAAGGACTATGCAGTTTTCTTAGGTTTCTTTTTTTAAATTTTTATTTAAATTTTAGTTAACATATAATGCAATATCGGTTTCAGGAGTAGAATTCAGTGAATCATCACTTACATACAACACTAGTGCTCATCACAACAAGTACCCTCTTTAATACCCATCACCCATCTAATCCAACCCCCACCCTCCTCCCTCCATCAATCCTCAGTCTGTTCTCAATCATTAAGAGTCTCTTTCCCCCTCTCCTTTTTTCCCCCTTTCCATATGTTCATCTGTTTTGTTTCTTAAATTCCACACATGAGTGAATATGGTATTTGTCTTTCTCTGACTGACTTATTTTGCTTAGCGTAATACCCTCTAGCTCCATCCAAATCATTGCAAATGGCAGGATTTCATTCTTTTTGATGGCTGAGTAATATTTCATTAAATATATACACCACATCTCCTTTACCCATTCATCAGTCAATGGACATTTGGGCTCCCCCCATAATTTGGCTATTGTTGATAACACTGCTATAAACATCAGGTGCATGTACCCCTTCAAATCTGTATTTTTGTATCCTTTGGGTAAATACCTAAATAGTTAGGTTGTAGGGTAGTTCTATTATTAGTTTTTTGAGGAACCTCCATACTCTTCTCCAGAATGCACCAGTTTGCATTCCCACCAACAGTGTAAGAGGATTCCTCTTTCTCCACATCCTCGCCAACACCTGTTGCTTCTTGTGATATCCCATCGTGGTTTTGATCTGTATTCCCTGATGATGAGTGATGTTGAGCATCTTTTCATGTGTCTATTAACCATCTGATGTCTTCTTTAGAAAAGTGTCTATTCATGTCTTCTGCCCATTTCTTAACTGGGTTATTTGGTTTTGGGGTGTTGAGTTTGATAAGTTCTTGATGGATTTTGGGTACTAACCTTTTATCAGACATGTTGTTTGCAAGTATTTTCTCCCAATCCGTAGACTACCTTTTAGTCTTGTTGATTATTTCCGGCACTGTGCAAAAGTTTTTATCTTGATGGAAGTCCCAATAGTTCATTTTTGCTTTTGTTTCCATTGCCTCCAGTGATGTCTAGCAAGAGCTTGCTACAGCCAAGGTCAAAGAGGTTGTTGCCTGAATTTTCCTCTAGGATTTTGATGGTTTCCAGTCTCACATTTAGGTCTTTCATCCACTTTGAATTTACTTTTGTGTATAGTGTAAGTGGTCCAGCTTCATTCTTCTGCATGTTGCTGTCCAGTTTTCCCAACCCCATTTGTTGAAGAGACTGTCTTTTTTTCCATTGGATGTTCTTTCCTGCTTTGTTGAAGATTAGTTGACCATATAGTTTTAGGACCGTTTCTGGGTTCTCTATTCTGTTCCATTGGTCTATGTATCTGTTTTTGTGCCAGTACCATACTGTCTTGATGACTACAGCTTTGTAATAGAGGTTGAAATCCAGTAGCTTGATACCTCCAGTTTTATTTTTCTTTTTCAGAATTGTTTTGGCTACTTAGTGTCTTTTGTGGTTCCATACAAATTTTAGGATTGTTTGGTCTAGCTCTGTGAAAAATGCTGGTGGTATTTTGATAGGGATTTCATTAAATGTGTAGATTGCTTTGGGTAATATAGACATTTCAACAATGTTCTTCCAATCCGTGACCATGGAATGCTTTTCCATTTCTTTGTGTCCTCTTCAATTTCTTTCATAACTGTTTTATAGTTTTCCGAGTACAGAGATCTTTTACCTCTTTAGTTAGGTTTATTCCTAGGTATCTTATTGTTTTTGGTGCAATGGCAAATAGGATCAATTCCTTGATTTCTTTTTCTGCTGCTTCATTATTGATATATAGAAGTGTAACAGATTTCTGCACATTGATTTATATGCTGTGACTTTGCTGAATTCATGTATTAGTTCTAGCAATTTTTCAGTGGAGTCCTTCTGGTTTTCTACACAGAGTATCGTGTTGTCTGCAAATAGTGAAAGTTTGACTTCTTCCTTGACGATTTGGATGTCCTCCATTTCTTTTTGTTGTCTGATTGCTGAAGCTAAGACTTCCGGTACTATGTTAAATAGTAATGGTGAGAATGGATATCCTGCCTTGTTCCTGACTATAGGGGAAAGGCTCTCAGTTTTTCCCCATTGAGAATATTAGCTGTGGGTCTTTCATATATGGCCTTTATGGTGTTGAGGTATGTTCCATCTATGCCTACTTTGTTGAGCTGTTGAGGGTTTTTATCAAGAATGGATGCTGTATTTTGTCAAATGCTTTTTCTGGACCTGTTAACAGGATCATATGGTTCTTATCCTTTCTTTTATTAATGTGGTGTATCACATTGATTGATTTGTGAATATTGAATCAACCCTGCAGTCCAGGAATAAAT